TTTTTTTTTAGGGGGAATTTGGCATCAAAAACACAACCAAGAGTCATTATATCAATTGTCTCTAAGCAGTTTCCTTCTAACAAGCCTCCCTGACACTGGAGTTCCTTTTAATTTCATTAAGTAGCTTACAGCGGCGCAGAAACTCGCTGTCACCGTGGAAGCTTTTTCAAAACTCCAGGCGAGGCTGAACCGTCCTCGGGGCTGTAAATCCCTCCTCCAGTCGCGCTCATCTGAGCCCTAATCAGCATCAGGCATCGGCGCAGGGAGATGTTTCCCCGAGATGAAAGCGCTGCGGATACGTTTATCTAAAATTACAACAAAACACACGCACAAGAAAACGAGGGGCATCTTTGAAACAATAGAAAAACACGAAAATGTCAACGCATTTCCATTTTTCACGACTCACTTCCCATTTCAATTCCAGAGCTCCTGTAGGGGGATTTCATGAATGGCTGAGTATGGACTGCTGCTCCGGATGCCATTTTTCCCCCCACTTTGGTCAAATATGCAGCAGGGGAGGCAGAAGAGGGGGGCAACGAGAGCTCATCTGGAAGTTGGGACTGTACCGCAGCAGGTTCCCAGGGCTCCAATACTGAGCATGGTTACATTAAACAGCAGGGAACCAGGGCCCGCGAGCTTGTATAGAATACTGTTAGGTTCTGCTGCGGGTCAGGGGGCCCCGGGGGCCGCATGGTCCTCTTTTACATTATACAGCCCGGGTCAGGTTTAGATTAAAGTCATGAATGAGAAAAGGAGACAGTCATTTAGAGTTACTCATTTATTTAGCCTCTTTTCTGGCCAGACAAAGCCCAGGCGGGGTGCCGTGCCGGGGCCGTCACCGGGCCCCATGGCCGGCGGTACTGCCCCGGTTTTGACCCTGACAACGGTCCCCTCTGTGCTGCTTAACCCACAACTTGCCTGGTTACTAGCGAGTGTGTGACCTCAGCATGTGTGGATCTCTCACAAGACCGAGCGCCACGCTGAGCCTTGGCCGCGGCTGAAATACCCCTGTGTACCCCCTTATTGTCTGCCCCAGCGTGGGGCAGGAGGGGGAGGCAAACGGGGGACACTTGGACAGGGAGGAGGGGAAGCATGGCAACCAAGAAACCAGACTTGGGAACTGCTTGAAGGCCAAGAAGAGGGTAGAGAGAAAAAAAAAAAGCAGGGTGGCACAGAAATCTGTTATCAGAGCAGGAAACTCCATCAGCCGCCTCTGATGCCAAAATTACAACATTTGCATTTGTGCCATTAACATCCTGTCATCAGACTTCGCCTCAGGGTCACGAAAACAAAGACACGCTTCATCCTACTTGTGTTTTGACTGCAAAGCCCAACAAAACCAGTTTCTTTTCCCCGAGTTAAATGCCGATATGAAATTAGGGCTTTGACTCACGCCGAAACTGCTCGTCTGCTAATGCAGGGAGAAAGTCTTCCCGTCCAACTGAAACAAAGTGACACACAAACACTCATTATATCGCTATGTGCTCAGGTGCCAAGACAGAGTCCGGGCACTGAGTCACCAAGGGAGGTGCCCCAACACAAGTCAGGAGGAGAAATGTCACCTGAGTGTCCAAATCAGACCCATCTCTGCTCACATGTACGAGATTTGTGACAAATTTACCACCGAGACGCAACCAAAAAGTCCCAAACTGCAGGTTTTTAGTCAGCAAACACAACAAAATGAGACTTTATCACCACTTCAGAGCTGGAAAATGAAGCAAATAAACTCTAAAATGACACAGAAAACATCCACCAACTCTCATATTAACTCTAACCAATGCAGTCCAGCATTACTTCCAAGCAGCAGCTCAGACGCCTCCAAACAGCAACACTTGATTTTCAACCTGAATGTGGAGCAGACACTGAGCTGCGCGTAATGGTGCGTAATAGCGGAGTGAAGCCCCCCTCCTGCTCTTGTTGTTGCCATGTCAGGGGGGGAGAGATTTATGCAGCTAAATGTGCAGAGTTGATTAGAGAGATGACTCAGATATGGAGGACAATTAAACCGCAGGAACATCAATCCATCAGTGCAGGACAACAGATATATGAGCTCCATTTGTCAACCGGGAGAAGCTTCACCGACGGTGGGAACTCAGAGGAAACGTTACCTCATGATGTTGCCAATTAATGTAATGACAGGTTTGCTTTGAAACCTGATTTCAAACCTGAAATTGTCTGAAACTAATAATGGTGTTGCTGTTTCCTGAAGTGGACCAACTTGATTTTTACGCACTCGGCGCTCAGAGTGCAGCAGCTACAGCACACAGCCGGTCAGAGAGCAGCTCCGACCGGCCACAGGGAGCCTCCGTGCGCCGGTGCAGCAGAGCCGGTTACTTACTTGGGGTTGGTCCGGTTCCAGAAGACGGCGTAGCGGTCGGACACCACCTTGGAAGCCGGGTCCTGGCCGTACACACACATCCCAATGATGAGGAGGAGGAAGAGGATCATTTCCACCTGCGGCATATTTGCTCTGGAAGCGAAAATCGATTCTCCTGGTTCAGGTTTAAAGGTTCTGGTGAAGCGTAGAGATGACAGTCCACTTTGCGCGTTTTAATTCCCCTCTCAGACGGAGCTCCTTCCTCTGCCTTTAACTCAAATTAAAGCTTCTCTTTCTCTTCTTTTTAACGCTCAGTGTAACAGTCCGATCATTGAAACTCTTCTGGTAAAGACACAGAACACTGTTTCTGCTCGACAGTCCACCTCCGGCACAGTTTCTCCACAGTTTCTCCAACTCGCATTAAATTTTTCCAAACAGGAGGCAACGCTGTGGTGCGCAGAGGAAAATAAAGCAGAGAAATAAATGTTCCTCGGTGCAGAAAATTTAAAAAAAGAACCCAGTCCCGGTGTTCGCTCTCTCCGCTCCGGGTTCGGTCTCTCCGCCTGTTCGCAAGAAACCAGTAGCTTCAGCTCCGGCGACTGCCCGAGCTTCTCCCGTCCTGCCGACAAACAGCAACCGTAAAAAGCCTCTCCGCTGCGCGTAAACGCAACAAATCTGCAGGTCAAATGTCCCCCTGACGAGTCGCTCCGCCACGTAACCGAGAGCGCACGAAACGCGGTGTTCTGGATCTGGGGGAAGCAAACCAAGTCAGCGGCGCAGTGGCTCCTGCTGCCATGCTCTCCCGGACCAACCCCCCTCCTCCTCCAGCCCTGCGCCGCCTCCCCCTCTCTCTCTCTCTCTCTCTCTCCCTCGCTCTCTCTCCCCCTTCCTCCTCCCTCCCACTGTGCCAGCCGGGCCACACTGGAAAAAATGCGCGTCTTGACACTTGAGGCGTTTTAGTCTCTTTAATCTTCTGGGTTCGTCTCAGGAGGAAACAAACGGAGCAGAATGCAACACGGACTCTTTCTCGAAGCTCGAAAACGCAACAAAATCTCACTCATGCACGTAGAGCTGTTCTTGGCGTGCGCGCACAGTCTTAATCAAGTTACCCACGCGGGTTTTTTTAGCGCGTTGTTTGTTGTTGCGGATATTTCTTGCAGCGTACAGTTTCACGGTTGCGCGCAGCCTCATTGGCTCGGATTTTGAATGACGGGCGTTTCGCTTACAAAAACAACATCCCTCCTCCTGGGGGGCATCCGAGCTTCCCAGACATCTCACATCGTTCCACCAGCACGCTGCGCAACGAGCCGCTTTCACCGGTTAAACTGGGTTTTCATTCCGTGGCCAGATGCTCCAGCGTGTCCACGGTGTGCGTAAAGTTTTACTGAAATGTGACAAACTTTCAGCTGATTTCGGTGCAAATTTCATCCCAACCTCTCGATTAATGAATTTACTGTAAGACTTGTGTTGTCATTATTCAGAGTGCTCCTCTGGTTTCTGTTGTGCCTCCAAACAGGCTGCAGCTGCTTTCAAGAGATGTGTTTTCCTTTATTTCCCTGGAACCAGTAAAACGCTCTCAAGTATCTCTGCTGGCAGAGTTTCCACTTGTTTGGATGAAAATAATAATTCCATTCTCCCCCAAATGCTTCTAGAATTGCCACATTTCATTGTCTATACACATTCAGACATGCCTTCAGTTGTTTATTTTAATTTCTATTGGCCACACATTCATGCAGCAGCAGCATCATGAGGCTCCTCTCAGCTCTGTGATGTGCAGTTTGCTGTGCTGTGCTCTGGGTTCATGACTCTGTGCGCCACGTAGTGGTGAAGGAGGGAACGCCTCCTTAAACTCTCAGGATTCACAGGCTCTTATTTTCTGCAGGAATTCAATACCATGCTTATTAAAGAAGAGGCAACATTAACCGCTTGTCTGCTGAGTGGAATAAGGTTTTGGGAGAGTTCAGAGCACATAAACATCAGCGGGTGGAGTTTGGAGATCGTCCATTAGTGAGTCACAGAGAGCAGAGCTGAGCCCGGTGGTTGAACTAATCCTCCTAATAACAACAGTACCACTGAGGGAGCCGGTCTGAGGGCCGCAGGGCTCAACAGCAGGATTGTAAACTTTACCGAGACACTGAACAGTCATCGAGGCTCCTCAGACTGCGGCTCCTGTTCACAAACACACTGATTTATTCCACCTGAAAAGGCCGCTGAACTCCATCTCGCCCGGTTCAAAGTTCCTCTCCGTCTGTTTAGCCTCCGCAGTGTGTAGAGGCATTTTAAAACTGCTGGGTTTCTCAGAGCGCAAAATGAAATTGCTTTCTATAAAAGAAACTGTTAAATGGAGAAGTAGAAATACTTTTACAGACGAACAGGGTTTTTTTAAAATTATTATTATTATTATTTTTCCAGGACACAAACTTCGGGGTGAGAAACTGCAAAATGAAGTGACACAGAGAGGGCACTGGTGTCACATCAAATTATCACATCAAAAGCTTTATATAGACGTCAGATCGAATGCTTTTCTGTGTTCGACTGAGCAGCACAGTGGGTGAGTCACTCGTAATGCTGCCTTTAGCCGGTTTGTAGCCAACAAGAGCCTTTAAAATGAGCATCACACGTTGTCGTTGCATGTTCAGCTGTGTTAGCAACCTTCATGTGCTGTTTGGGGCTTTGTGGGTGCACAAAGTTGGGAATTTGACCAAGAAATCTACTAAAACAGAGAGATCCAGGTAGATAAGTGAACTATATATTATTAGTCTGAACCTTGTCTTGCGTAGTCAGACTATTCTCCAGAATGTTCTGGTTGCACCTCCTAATCATTCTGAAAAACACTGGTTTGTTTCTATTTCTTCAAACTGATCACGATGGCGCTGGGTGGAGCTAAGCCCAGGATGTAGCAACGGTGTCCCTGCAAAACAGCAACAAGTGGAGATGTTTTAGTGGAACATTTTTATGCTTAGAGTCGGAAACTGTCATCAAAATGACAACTTAATTACACAAAAATCCAGCAGCTGCCTTAATTCATGACCTAAATCCTTTGCAAGACTTGAAAATATCAGTGTGGCAGCCTGCCAGCCCGCAGGTTGTTGTTTCTGCAGTAAAAGGCATTTGGAAAACGGTGACATGTAGACAATGAACGGTGAAGAAAAGGCCACATAAGGTGAATTTGACTTGGTTCTGCTGCTTGGATGGTGTTTTTGCACAATTCAGAGCTCATGTTGTCTGAAGTAGCTTCGTAATTTTCACACAACAGTCCTGCTTTTGAATTATTTTACTCATAAAACTCATTTCTCATCACCATCATTTGCAGAAAAAACAAAATGCTGTTCTGCACTGAGTCCGACGCTCAGGTGCTGCACAGCTTGATGTTGTAGCTTTACTGTCGCTATATTGAGGTCAGACAACAATAAAACTAAATTACATCAGTGCAATATCAAAATAGAATATAAAAAGCACAAGTACATCACATAGACAGCAGAAAAATTTAAAGCATGGGTCACACATAACATCTTTTTTTTTTCCAGGCACACAGGCTTAATGTAGCAGATAGCTCAGCAACAACCAACATCTTCATCACTGGCTGAGGCAGATTAGTGGTTTAGATATTGTTGTTTCCTCAATGCTTATCACCGACATTGATGGAAAAACATCATGAGTTTACAAAAAGATGTGAAGTAGAGTTTACAACCGTGGTGCTAAAGAAATCTGACTCACTTCATCTGCTATGTAACGATGATACTGTGGATGTGGGTCTGCTGTGATCGGAGCAATCGTTGGAGAGGATTATCGCCTATTATACAGGTACAGATAAGAAAAGAAGCAACGTCTTTAGCACTTCTAGCAGCTCTTGTCGTGGCTGCCACTTAGAAACTTCCGGGTCAGTTCACTCAGCCACCTTCAGACGCAAATACACGACATCATTAGCGTCTATATGGCGTCGCTCACGTGATTTACATTCAGTGCATCATGAATAAACACATACCTCAGGTTTCTAGCAACATGATAGTATTAAAAAAACAATGCTAAAGACTAGCAGAGTGCTTTACAGACTGAAATAAAGGAATTAGACAGGGTGTAGCGGCGTCCCGAGGCATGCGTTTAAAGGTTAAATAACTTCAGCCGGCCCGTTCTCCCCCCCTGCTTTTGTATTTTTATTAAAAACCCAGTTCACGGTGTCCATTTCTCGAATTGTGTTCAAAAGCGAGAGCACACGCTGAAAATGTTTCATGCTATGCGGCTCCGGCCGTGGGTCAGCGTTATATTAGCTTTAATATTGGATTTAATTGAATTTAACCCGACTCGGCCGGCAGAGAGGAGCTTTCAAAGGAGGGGAAGCTCCAGAGAAAAACAGAGCGTGATCCTGAGCTTTCACCAGGAACAGGGTGGTGAAACCATCACAAACCTCCTTCATGTAGTGAAATACGCCTGATTTCACTGTTAATCCGACTTCCTGTTTGAACTCACCTGCAAACCCTCAAACTGGCGGTTGAGCGAGCCAGACTGTTTACCGCCTCCACGCCGTTTGGGTGTTTGGCCGAGGTCGTCGCGTGCGTGCATCTTGTAAACTCATCAGTGCATCAATGAGCGCACGCAGACCGGCGGCCATTTGCGTGCTTTTGTGCATACGTGTGCATGCATTATATGTGTGTGTCTGTGTGTGTGTGTGCAGCCGATGATCCACCTCGCCCAGGCAGACTAATCCATGAGCTATAATCACCTCATCTCCCCAGCTAAAGTGCCTGTCCTACTTCATTTGCGCCTGATATACGTCTGTGTTCCCCAAGACAATGGAGTCATTATAAATTAGGGTCAGTGGGGCTTCCAGCGCGACACACAGCATCCTAATGCTTCTCGTGGCCTTATGAGTCCGCTGTCACGTTTCACCGTACCAACCTGCGTCACACACATGCTCCAGAGCTGCACGCTGTTCCTCTTTTTTTGTGTGTTTATTTTTGTTGTTTTTTATGAATGCAATCTGCAATAAAGCATCAAAGTGACACAGGCATTTCATCCCCCCCCTCAGTCCTCTTCCATTAGCAGCTGGTAAACAGAGCTGTAATCACGTTCTGCTCTGTAAAGAAAAATCCATTTCAATATTCCTATCTCGCAACTAAAGAGCTAAACAAATTGCTTCTTTTTTTATCACCGCAAGTTAAATATCTGCTGGAGCCACTTGAGGGTTGTTTTTATTTATTTTTTTATGTTTTGTTGATTAATTTGGGTTTCATCAAGTTTTCACTAAAGATCTTTCGGCGCGACACGAACACACAAAGTCACACTTTTCTTGTGATTCGTAAAAGCGGCGGTTTTGACGCACATGAATCGACGTGAGGGTAAAATGATGTGAAATACGATCAGTGTTTTGCAGCTTATTCCAGTCATTTTAAAACAATCACGTTTTATTAAATTGTTCCCCGCAGAACACTAATTGGAAGAAGACATATTTGAGGAGGGAATGAAGGCACGTTTATGCTCAAATCAACACTTGAAGCACTGATTTATGTCTCACATCTGTGGCAGAAATAGCAACTGAAGCCTGATTAACATGCATTTTGTTCAATTTTAGTTAAAAAGTTAATTAGGCTTTAAAGCCAATACCAATTTTCAACCAATACCAACCATCTTTGCCAGCCTTAATCAAAGAGTTTTTGTGGCAAAATCATCCCAAAATACATGAACCAAGACAGTAACTTCTGATTTCTGCTTTATGTTTTTTAAATTTTCATTTTTACGATGTTTTCGGAAATCGTCTTTGCATCTGAGAAATTCAGCCACAACAGAAAACAAACTTATGATTACAGACAGACATTTAACCAGAAAATAGCATCATT